GAACATGTAAGTTTATCCCAAACAATGCCTTTCTCGTTCCAAATCGGTTACGGAAACCAAAGTGGGTGTCACTTAGATATCCCTTTAAAACGATCGAATAGCCGACTAGATCCCCCGATTTGACTCCTCGCGATTACTTTTTATGGGGTTATTTAGTTTTAGTTTATTTATTATAGTTATAAATGTTGTACGAGCATTTCAAAATCACCTCGGTTATTGTCAAGAAGTGAATGGTAGTAATTTTAAACATTTAATTTAATTGTAAAGTATAGTGAAAAATACATTCTAAATATTATGTGACATTATTATCTTCATTCAACCTAAAGTTTTGCAATAGAGACATTATCAAAATTTTACATCTTAAAAATCAATTTTCTCAGTTATGATTGCACAAACTCAAAAAACTTTATATTGCTGAACAGGGGGCTAAAATTCCTTACTAACAAGGTATCATACGACCCCCTTTGTTAATTAAAATTTTCTAGGGGGTGCTTATAATTCAAATAGGGTGCTGGAGGGGGATAATATTTTCAAACTGTAAATTGTCAATTTAAGAATAAAAATCCACCTGTTTCAGGTTTTTTTCACATAGTACATAATAACGATAAAAATGAATTTATTCCATACATATGGACCGCATGGTATAGTACATCTAGACAGAAGAGCAATATAAAAAAGTATTGTGTTCAACAAATGACAAAATTTTTGTTAGAGTTACTACCAAGACAGAAAAATGTCATATTACACGACGAAGGACTTCATAAATATATAAAAACAGAGACAATCTTCACGAACGATATAAACTATAATAAATTTACTATTTTCTTATTATACATTACATGACAAATCAAAACAGACACAAACCACATAAAAAACTACACAAAAATTTATTCTTTTTCGTTTTTTTCTCTTCTACGTAATAGCCAAAAAATGGGTCCATCATTATGATTAGTTAGTTTGCCTGTCTATCGCGTATATGGTAAACTGCCATTACTTGCACAAAATTTAATGATTTTAATAACACTATTTTGGGCTAATTCACCATTTAAAGTGTTCAGTCGTTACTTTATAATTAATACATACAAAATAAGTTGTTGTCAGCGGACAAAGGCATGTTACTAGGCATTTTTATTTTTTTTTATATATTTGTTTAAATATTTTTTAATTGCACAAAAAATGTTACAAAGCAATTATTATGACGTGTACGTAAAATACATTGAATATGAATAGGCTGGTGAAATATTTATCGTCTGATGTTTTCGAAGACTATTTTGGTTAAATGATACATTTCTTGCCAACAAATTCTGTCTTAGTAACCCTCTACTGCATGAGTAATTGCAAACATGAAATAAAAATACTTTTATGTATTGTGGTTTTTATTAAGGCATGGTACATTTAAACTAATCAGTTAGTCATGTATAAATGTTTTTTGCAAACACATACAATGGTTTCATATGCAATAACTACAAATTGGAAGTTTTTCTGAAAATCAATATATTATTCGCATGTATTATACAAACATATTTTAGTAAAATGTTAACATATAAAAAGTTATATGAGTTATGAAATTTTGATAGACAATTCCTTTTTTCATTACAATACATAAATACACTTTATACATTTGGTTTGTTTTTTTGTACATATTTGACACTGTTGGCGATATTTTTGCCATTCTGGCATGTGTCCAATGTTGTCCATACGCACAGAATTTGACGATATCTCTTGATACGTTGCAAGAGTTTTTCTTATTCTTTTATTGGTGTTGGGGTTTTTACATTGGTTCCATTAAGGTGGAGTTCCTTGTCGACTAGACTTTGGAGTCCTATTTTGTCCCACTGGAGGACCTGTCTTCCTTGATAGTGATTTCTCAGATTTACATAAATGTTCAAAAACTGCTTTGTATATTGCTGTAGCAATTTTGCTCATTTTTATACGCCAGAGTATTCAAGCGTTTACAACACATAGATCCATCAGATGAAAAGAAATTCGTTTATACCATTTTCATGATCTTGATGGATTCGGAAAAGCCCCAGCATCGAATCTAACAAGTCCACTCCTCCTATAAGAGATAATTTGTTCGTCAACAGCTAAATGTTGCTTCTTGGGAACCAATAAAATGCGTTGTTTAATCTTGTCTAATAGAGGTCTAATTTTAAATGAAATGGAGTTACCGGTTAGTTAAAAGTTCCGAAAGTAACGGGTATACCATACCGGCTATTGATAGTTAAAGTACCGAGTCGTTACAGATATTAAAAAGTAACAAAAATTTACATACAGTTTCATATATCGCCGACTGATTTTAGTTTTAAAAACCGTCCTTATAGAGGTATTCGGTGAAGAGACGTGTTAAGAGAGAGTTTAGTGTTGTGTATTTGATTGTAGTGTTGCGTAGAACAATAAGAGAATAATTAAGTTTTTTTGTTGTTTTTTTTAATACTTATTGAATATTTGACTAAATAAATTACACTATTTAATCACTTAAGTATTTTTACACTTAGTTTAATCACTTAATTCGAAAACCAACTTGTTTACAATACTAAACCCAATGATATTAATTATATACTTCAAAATCTGAATTACAACTATCATATAAACTATCAATTATATATTTAGATCATGACGTCATATTTAAATCTAACGTTTATATCTGTCATAACAGTATTTTAAAAATGGGGAGAATTTACCATTGTACAATTCAGCACATTGGACCATTTAAATCGATACCTTAAAGCGAATTTAAAACAGTCGTATATTCGTGGAATGGAGTATATTAAGAAATTAAGGGAATCACAAACAAAGGAACAAACTGTAAAAACTCTTACTAAAAATCTACGTAATCTCCAAGAACTGAATACAAGTAGCTATAAATGAAAACTTAAAACCAAAGAAAAGAAAACATTGAAAAGAAGACTTGATGACTGAAGAAATACTATATTAATGAATGAAAGAAAATCATTCAAAACAAAAAATTCAATTAAATATAATGAAACTGATCGATTAATTAAAAAAAGAATCTAAGAAGCTAAGGAGAGAATGTTACATGAGCAGTGCCAAGAACTAGAAGAAATTGAGAAAAAATATGTATTTTTTTAACATGCATAAAAGAATTAGAGAATTAACCGGAATAAGAAAAACACTTAAAACTAGGCAACTAGCAGATGAAAGTGGTGCACTTATAACAGATATAAACCAAAAAAATGAAGAGATGGACACAATATATAGCACAACTTTTTAAAGATAAAGAGAGAATAGAAGCACCAAAAGAATTTAAGGATAATACTGGGCCTGATATTATACGAGAAGAAATTGAATATGCAATGAAACAAGCTAAACGTTGTAAATCTCTCGGGCCTGATGAAGTTCCTATCGAATTACTCAAAATTGTGAATACTGAATCTATTGATCTTCTTTTGGATCTATTCAATACCATATATAGAACAGGTATAGCAGGTATAGTAAAACCAATGCAAATGAGTGCAATGATCATCGCACTATAGCCTTAATGAGTCATGTCTTGAAATTATTTTTAAGTAATTCACAATAGAATACATAAGAAATTAGAAGAAGGCATAAGTGATACACAAATGGGATTTAGAAAAGGACTGAGAACACGAGATGCACTGTTTGCAATAAGTGTTCTTTCGCAGAGATTCTTAGATATAAATCAGGAAGTATATGCCTGTTTCACTGATTTTGAGAAGGCATTTGGCAGAGTGGCGCATAAGCGGCTTACAGAAATTTTATTAAATAAAAACATAGACAGTAGAAACATTAGAATCATATGTAACCTCTATTGGAAATAAACAGCAAAAGTGAAAGTTGAAAATGAACTGACCGAGGATATCCAGATTCGTCGTGGAGTCCACCAAGGGTGTATTTTATCACCCTTGTTATTCAATTTATACAGTGAAGCCATCTCAGAATTAACGCTTGCCGAGATTAGTGAGGGACTTATAATAAACGGTGAGCCACTTAATAACATAAGATATGCTGACGACACCGTCCTTCTGGCAGGAAACCTAGAAGAACTGCAACATCTTGCTAAACAACTAAATATATATTGCAACGATTATGGACTAAAAATAAATTTGAGGGAAACCAAGTTCATGGTATTTACAAAAGCACATAACAACAAAGTTAAGTTAGTACTAGATAATACAGAAATTGAACGAATATCTTCGTACAAATACCTTGGAGCATAGATCACAGAACATACTGATCAGACAAAAGAAATAAGATGCCGCATTGAAATTGCACGGTCAACTTTTAATAGAATAAGAAAACTTTTTTGTAATCGCGATATCAATATATCGCTCCGGATAAGAATGCTTCGATGTTATATTTTCTCTACCTTTTTGTATGGGGTTGAAGCTTGGACACTTAAAAAAATCCAACATTAAAAACCTAGAAGCATTCGAAATGTGGTGTTACCGACGTATTTTGAAAATATCATTAATGGATCGCAAAACAAACGAACAAACTCTCGAACAACTAGGAAAACAATGCGAAGTTTTAAATGCAGGGTAAAATCAAAGGCAGAAGAAGCGTAGGAAGACGTAAAATCTCGTGGGTATGCAATCGCCGTGAATGGTTTGGATGCAGTTCAATTGAACTGTTCAGGCGCGTAACCAACAATCTTATAATTGCCAGAATGACTTCCAATCTCCGATAGGCGCGGAACTTGATGAAGTTATATTAAGAAAGAGACCAAATTTTTGTACGTTTTGTACATCTATTGTTGAACAAAGGAAACACATTTTTATCAAATTACTTTATTCTATAAGTACAGTGTTCCAAATTCAATTTATTTAGTTTATTTGACGTTTTAGCAATCAGTTTCAAGTCCGTTTGCGAATTTTAGATTTTTTAAAAAAAGATTGAATGGAGGCCAAAACCTCAAACAAATAAATTGCAAATCATACAGTTATAAATTTAATTAGGGCTTTCAATGAAAGTGATTCGTATATCGATGCCTCTGTAGAAATACAAGAGGTACTTACCATGCCTTGATAACCACAGATATTTCCTTTTACCAAAAACACACCCGCCAACTTGGCCAGCTACCACATATCGCGTGATTGTACACTTTAAAAACTACCTATCAATATATATCTTCTTTACACATAATTTGCTTATCTATCCACCCAAAGACGATTAGATTGATACAGTAGTAGCAATAATATATTTCTAATAAAAGGTGTGCATAGTTTTAATTTTTAGTATTATTAACATTAACGTAGACCAATTTGATAACACACTTGTGAATAGGTGAATGGTATAATTTCTAATCAACTTATGCAATTAAAATACGCATTTCTAATGTTACAAATATTTTGACATTTGAACTCTAATATCCAATATTTTATTTTTTTATCCGACGTACCTCAAAACTGTTTGGTATTAGGCTATTTTTAATATTTTCCGTTGATAAATATTTTTGTTGGCGATTTCGATTTATTAATAGTCTAAAAAAGATCTCGAATACAAGAAGAAAAACTAGAATAGAAGTGGAAGGACTATAACATTATTAATTCTATTGAAAAAAAAAACAACGCATTTTTATATACGAATCTAAAAGTAGATAAAACAGACATAAATGGAGATGGGCCATCAAAAGGAAAAAATAAAAACAACAATAGAAAATAATTGATAGATTCGACCGTTACTTGAAGGAAATTCATTTCATGTACCAATAAAACACTGAAAACTTTGTTTACTAAATTTATTTATACTAAATTTAGTAATAGCGAGATACAACTTTTAGAGAAAGGATTTAAACACAACTTTCCCCGAGATAATAATCAGAAAACTTTAGAATATTTAGGTGTAGAATGTGAAGTAGCATTAAACAAAACTGCTAACAATATCGAAAAAAGTATAATTGAAACATCTACTACAGATATGTATAGTGAAACCAAAAATTCCTGTTACAAAGAGAATAAAACAGCCATTTCAATTAAAAATAAATCAATAGAAAACAACATAGTGTTTACAAAAGCAGACAAAGGTAAAACTACTATTGCTTTAGATAAAATAGAACATAATAACAAAACAATAGAATTTTTAATAATCAAAATATTGAAGCGTTACATAAAGATCCGACAGAAAAGTATCAAAAAAAATTAAGGAAATTCAAATTCAATAGTAGTCCAACAGAACAGAAATACGCCAATTTCATGAACAGCCTCTTTTATTAAAGTACACAAACCGGATCCTCACCCAATAAGACCTGTAGTCTTATTGGGTGGGTCCTGTCTTTTTAAATAGATTGAGCCACTTCTTCGTTTGTTATTTTGGTCACCATGCTGTTACTATCTCCGTTAACATAAGAGGTTGTCTGTCAAATTCTTCGTGTAATAATCTAGCACAGTCATTTTTCCATCTCTTTTTGATATCCTTTTCGTGATTTAGTATTTTATTATTTTTATCTCTGATACATCTAATCTGATTAAAACGTTTTGCATTCTTTGCTCTGTGTTTGGGTATTTTATATATCTTAGTTTCTACTTTCCCGGTATCAAATTTATCGTACAGATTTTTGTATACACTTCTGCTTTAGTTTTTGCTACTGCCACTTTCTCGCTTCATTTTACTCGACTGTATAGTTTTCAAAATCTACCTATTTTCTTGCACTGTTTATAGCAATTTTCTAGGCTCTTTATTTTTTCTTGAACTTCGTTTGACCACCACCAGATCTTTAGTCTCAAACTTTTTTCCTGGTATATGCATAAGTTGAAAACAATCCAAGATTATAATATAGATATATTTCTGAATTTACGAAAATACTCAAATGATTAGTTCATCGATACTTAAATTGATAGCGTTTTGACAAGATTATTCAAACCGGCCAATTCACTCATGAATGAGAAAGATTGTTAGGATTTAAACTAAATTATTGTTTATCTAATCTATTTAAATTTGAAATGTTGAATCTTCGTTTCGTCATTTTAAGTTTACAAAAAATTAACAAACTACATAGGCTTTGGTGTCGCATACAAAATTCGTCCACCAAATTAATGAAAAATCGAACTAATAAAAAACTAATCTTGAACTCGACGTGGTCAGACAGATGTGAAAACTTTTATAAGCATGCTTATAAAACATCTTTTATATTGAACAAAACATTTAATTTCACTTAATCAAAATAAACACTCAAAAATATTTAAGGAACACAAAGTTTTTTCTTCATATATACATCAACTTTAATTGGATTTTAAAAAGTGACATAGCATTATAATATCTAATTAGTCAATAATAATTTGTTTGTGTAACAAAAATTTAGTTTACGTTTTTTACATTAAAGTCAATTAACGTAAAAATCTAACAAAAAATGTGTTTATTAATCAGTGTTTCCTTCAGCAACATTAATTACAGCTTGATACCTCCTAGGCATGCTTAAAACTAAATTATCAATTTTGTTTTGAGGCAATAGGATCCATTCCTGCTTACGAAGATCTTAAAGACCTTGTCTGGTATAAATACTGTGTAGATGAGGAGCAATATATCTCTGAAGCATGTCACCAAACATGCTCGATGGGATTAAGATCCGGTGATTGTCTTGGACACGGTAAAAGTGTAAGATCCTCATTATAAAACCAATCTTTTACTGTTGCTGCTGTATATGGCTCTGCATTATCATGCCTGTAACGCAAATCGGAACCTGTAGCAGTGGCAAATGGAATGACAACAGGTTCTAAGATACGATCAATATATTGAGATTGATTCAAAGTGTCTTCTACAAAAACGGGAACAATTATTTTTCTTGTAGTGGATATCCGTTTCGGATGTTGGCGACTATCATGGAAATCTGTATTTTTCAAACTGCTGCCCTAAAAGATTTGTGGTTGTGTGTTGAACCACGTACGTATATTTTTCAGCCAGGAAATCCTTCGCCTTCCTGGTCCATGTTTTCTTTCTATTTTTCTTTGTAGGAATAATTGCAGCAACCCATATCTTTCATTCTATTCACATATTAACACAACTAATCGAAAAGTGCTACGAACATGACAAAGTTACACCTACTATTTATAGATTTCCAGCAAGCCTTTGACTCTGTAAATAGACAATCTTACTAGAAATCCAAATCATGATTATACCAGCGAAACTGATTAGATTAGCGAAAATTAAAACGGACAACCCTGTAGCGTCTATAACAGACGAAGGAAATACAGAAACTATCAAAACAGACGTAAACACTTAACAAAGCGATTAAAAAAACTAAAATTAACAAGATGATTATACTAAGCTCTACAAAAATTATAGGATACGATCTTAGTCCAATAGAGACACTTTGGCACAAAATGAAACAACGTCTAAGAAATAAACCTCAGCGTACTTTGCCACAACTAGGTGCTGAATTACAAGAAGTATGAGATAGTTTCATCCCTGAATCCTGTGAAGGCCTAGTTTATAGAATCCCTAATAGAGTTCAGGCTGTTATTCAAGCTAAAGGCGACGCCTTATTAACTTTTATTTTAATGTGTTAAAACTTCTTGTTCCAATATTTAGTTGTCAGCATTTTTTTGGCTATCAAACAATAAATAAAACAGCAATCAACATAAAATATATAATTAAACTGTAAAAATAATTTTATACATCATAGAAATGTTGTTAATTTCCTATTTACAATTAAAAAAATTTTAATAGAAAAATTTCGGCAAATTGCTATTTTATTCACAAAATAACTGCTTGTTCCAACATGTAGTGGTTAGTATGATTATATACCTATTCCTTTTAGATTATTAATAGTTTCATCATTCAAAGGGTATGCAAGGGTATGTCTAAAGGTACAAAACGAATTCAAGCAACCTTTAGGAAAACCACCAACAAGTTTTCAATCGGTAGAATATTTAATACGAGAATTGTCAATACATAATATAGTTGAGGATGAAAGACAAAGACGGAGAAAGTGAAGGATAGGATTATATTGTGCGTACAATTTAATTGTCGATCAATTTAAGCTACTTGATAATTTAGCTGACGCACAGTTAAGCTTATAATCAACATGATTACCAAAAATCGACTCCCTCGTACTTTTTAATATGTTAATACTATTTGAAAAGTGGATTTTTGTAATAAATCTCGTAACTCGAGATCTGTCATATCACAAACGTGACACAAAGCTATCGCTTAATGTGGATTATATAGGATAACGATCAAATATTATAATGAATTATTATATACATAAAAATAAGAGTTACTTTAAAATTTTTTAAATATTTTGGTGTCGACGGGTATTTATTTTTTCCTAAATTCAATTTCCGCATTTTCAACAAATCGTATTGTTTATATCAGATTCATTCAACGAATATTGGACTTCATCATCTCGGGGTCGTCAAAGTCATGCTTACTAACTAGATAGAGATAGAACCATTTGGACATGTTTAAAAACAAATTTTATAAGTAGTGTTTCTAATGTAACAGGAACACACACGAGATATCTCCCAATAAAAAGACGAAAAACGAGATCGATTACTTCTTGTGTGGGAACAAATACATTTTTGAAGATATAACTGCTCTCAATCGGTTCACAACTGGCAGCGATCATCGCGTTTTAAAAGCAAGGATTCTTATTAAATAGACGAAAAAACGAAATGAAACCAAAGCTCTTTAAAGTAGAACTGACTGTTGCAAAGAAAAGAAAAATAAAGAAGACAGAATAAGTAATGGAACAAAACGGTCGATGGAAAAGAGGCGCACATTTTAAGCGAAGGAAAACGAAACACCAATGGTTTCAAATAATTTAATAAACAAATAAAGGAGGGAGTAAAGGAAGATTTTAAAGACCTATAATGAAAACAAGGTTTTACCTTAGAAAATTAGAGGCTATTAATATTAGAGAAATAACGTTGAACGACATAAATTGGATACTGGATTGATTTGAGGGAGGCCTATGTCCCAAGTTAGATTACTTAAGGCTGAAGAAGAAGAAGAAGAAAGTTACTAATATCCCAACATATCCAAATGTCAACTAAGAGATCCATACAATATTAGTTCATGTGTACTATAGATGTTTTCGTTACTCCACGTCAAAAATCATACGCATCATGCAAAAAATTCAACATTTAAAATGTTGCTGTATAGAGAAGTTTCTACATTTCAAGTTTATCTAGCAGCCCTATGACACACTTGGTAATTTTAGAAAATTGACTATTTTTACTTACCGCTCTTCATACCCTGCGATCTAGCTTGGCAGCTAGCATTCCGGTGGTGAAAT